GTAAATTGCAGTCGATGTCATGAGACAAAGTGTATGTGAACTGCTGTATGGAAAGTGAATTTGCTCTGTAAATTTTCACCCAAATCACAATTTAAAAAAAAAAAAAAGAAAAACAGAAGGGTGGCAGTTCAAACCCACTAGCCACTCCATGGAAGGAAGACTAGGCAATCTACACTTCCGTAAAGATTTACTGCTCCGGAAACCCAAAGGGGGTCGCTATGGCTCAGAGTTGACTCAATGGCAGTGAAGTTTTTGAGTAAAGTCTATATCTAGCTCTGGTGGCATAGTGGTTAAAGCATTCGCTGATAACCAGAAGGTTGGTGGTTTGAACCCACAAGTCTCTCTGCAGGAGGAAGATGAAGCAGTCTGCTTCCATAAAGATTTATAGCCTTGGAAACTTATAGGGCAGTTCCACTCTGTGCAAAAAAGGGTTGCTATGAATCAGAATTGACTCAATGGCAATGGGTTTGGTTTTGGTTTTAGTAAAGTTGGAGATAGGCACATGGTGTAGAACAAAAGTCCAACTCTCTCCCAAGTACACACTCCAGAAAAATTCACACACAATAACTTAGCTTAACTAGTAAACAATGTCTGCCTTGAGCACTGGACTCTTTTATGATTATCTAAATGGGACCAAATTGACAACAGCAACTCAAAAAGATTAGATAGGAACTTCAGGAGGCAGTGAGTTTATGAGAATGGGGAAGGAACAACTCAGAAAAGGAGGGTGAGAATGGTTGCACAGTGTAATCAATGTCACTGAATCGTACATGTAGAAATTCTTGAATTGATTATTTTCTGCTGTGTACATTCTCAAAAACAATAAAATAAAATAAATTATAAAAAAGATTCATGTACAAGATTACCAGGATACATGTTTGAGAATGTCTGTAACAGTATGGTTTATAATAGGGAGACAAAAATAACAAGAAAACAAAAACAAAATGCACAGACATACCAAAAAAATGGAGAAAACAAATATCCCTCAACAACACAATGGACAAATAAAGTCTCACTATCCAGATTATGGGACATTGTGCAAGGCAATTAGTCTAGACTTTTCAAAAATGGAATCAAACACAGAAAAAAACTTCAAGATTAAAGGAGATTAGAAGCAAAATAATAAAATGCAATGCATAATCCTTGATTGGATCCTGGATTTTTAGAAAAGATGTTATAAAGGATATTTTGAGAGTAAGTGGAGAAATTTGAATACAGATTGTGGATTAGAAAAGATTATTATATCAATGGTAATTTTGTTAGGTAATTTTGTTAAAAGATTATTATAGCAATGGTAATTTTGTTAGGCAAGATAATGGTATTATGGTCAACAAAGAGAACGTCTTGTTTTAGGAGATTAACGCTAAAGCATTGGAAGTGGCACATCCGCAACTTACTTTCAACTTACTTTCAAATCCAAAAAAAAAACCAAACTCACTGACACAAGAGTCAGTCTGACTCATAGTGACCCCTCCTTGGGTTTCCGAGGCGGTATCACTACAGCAGTAGATTGCCCAACCTTCCTTCCAAGGAGTGGCTGGTGAGTTTGAACCGCCAGCCTTCTGGTTAGCAGTGCCATGCTTTAGGCACTATGCCACCAGAGCCCCCTACTTTCAAATGCATCAGCCAAAAAAAAATAAAAATAAAAAGTGTGTATCTATATCCATATATAGAAAGAGATAAATATAGATATAGGAAAAAGAAATAACACAACTGGCAAAAATGTTAACAAATGGTGAATCAAAGTAAAGAGTGTATGGGTGTAAAACACTTGACATTTTCTAAATGGTTAAGAGGACATATGGTAACATCATACAACTGAATAGTATGCAGCAATGACAAATAACTATAGCTAAATGTATCAACATTGCTTTTGTTGTCAGATGCTGACAAGTCAATTCAAACTCATAGTGACCCTCCGTACAACAAAACAACACTGCCGGGTCCTGTGCTATTCTCACAATCATTACTATGTTTGAGCCCATTGTTGCAGCCACTGTGTCAATCCATTTCGTTGAGGGTCTTCCTCTTTTTCATTGACCCTCTACTTCACCAAGCATGATGTCCTTCTCCAGGTACTGGTCCCTCCTGATAATATGTCCAAAATATTTGAGACACAGTCTTGCCATCCTCACTTCAACATGAGCGAGTCTCATTAAAAAATTTATCTGTTCAACAGGCACTATTTGACAGCTGGAAGGGTAAGTTATGCTCAGAACTTGAGATATCTGAGTTGTTCGATTTCACATGATGATCTGGTCCTAGGTGTGACAGTGGGTACCTGGAAGAACTGGGACAGAGGACAAGTCACAGGAAGTGAAGAGGTCATGGAACTGAAAGGATATATTGCAAGGAGGAGTCTCCATACGGAGATCAAATCCACTGAGTAGATCAGAGAGAAATGATGAGAAGGAAGTAGAGGCTTCAGTAAGTGCAAAGAAATGACAAGGATGTTAGGTAGTGACGATGATCATAACACCAATGAAAACTCATATAACATTTATCATGTCTCAGGTACAAGAGTTCACATGGATCAACTCATTTAATCATCACAACACCATTTTTATGATGTCCACTTCACATAAGCAAACTGAGGCTCAGAAGGATTAAGTCTCCACAGTGAGCAAATGGTAGAGCTAGAGTCTGGAACTACGCAGGCAGTTTGACCATAGAGGCAGGAGCCTTAACCACTAGTGAGTGCTAAGCCACAAGGGAAGGTGGCACAGAAGAAAGGCAAGAGTTTCAAAGAAGTTTGGTGATTTTGTAAAGGAGAAAGGAGGATGTGCGTGTTAGGAGAAGGACACTCACCATGCAGGCCTGGGCCAGGCTCATAGCCAGGCGGAACCGGGCAGACATGGCGAGAGGCAGCAGGGGGCTGAGGCCAGAGCCCACGGCAGGGTTGATCACGCGCAGACAGCGGACCACAGCCTCTACAACCAGCTCAGTGGTGAAGGCTCGAAGGGTCTGCACATCTGGAGGAACTGCCCTGAGGAAAAAGGGGGCAGGTTTGATTAGGGCAGTAGTCAGGAAACTAGAATCAAGCTGGGTTCTCCTGTCTTCCAGAGGGCCTAGTATCAGAGTGAGAATGGGGAGGGTACTCACAGTTCAGGCAGGTCCTGGGTGTTGGTGACTGTGACTTCAATTGGAAAACTAAGAACCAGAAAAGTCCTCAGGTCCTAAGACCTGGGTGTAAGAAAACGGTGGATGGACTGGGGCTTGAGTTGAAAAAACCTCAAATTTCCCCTATGCTTAACAGCCCCCACATTTCTTGTGTCTGAAGAAGTCAAAGGGTCCAGGTGGTATGATCCTTGGCATTCTAGATCCCCAGATATTATTTTCCCTGCATATCAAGGGCCCCTAGATATTGAGCCACTAGGGTTTTGAAAAGACTAGTAAAAGGAGCTCTGGTAGCATACTGCCTAAGGCATTTGAGTGCTAACCA